AGAGATTTCCAAGACAAGAAGTAGGGAAGGATGGACTGGTTTGTGGCTGCACACGCTGAGTAAACAGCTTACATTTCATCCTCAGGATCACTAGATATTCACTTCCCAGGAGAGGCATGGCTACTTGAAACAGGCAGGGATGGTCATCAGGCGCCTAGCTTTAGAGAAGCTGACATGGCTTTGTTACAAATCTCTCCAGATACTGGCATAGTCAATAGCTTGGATGACGGCCAGAAACATGTTGAGAATGTCCAGTGAAAGGGGAAGGAAAGGAGTGGTCACCTGAAGCTAGGGAATGGCTCAGTCCCACAGCACTTGAGGTAGCATGTGCCCATAATATCAGTGTTGGCAAAGTGGGGACAAGAGGTTACCTGGAGCTTGTTGACCAGTCTGGCTGAACTGGTGAGCACTCAAAAAGGAAGGTGAGGAGAATGGGAGAATGGAGGAAGATCTGACATCAACTTCTGGCCTCCAGCACATGTGTGCATGCAGAGAGAGAGAGAGAGAGAGAGAGGAGAGAGAGAGAGAGAGAGAGAGAGAGAGAGAGAGGTGGAGGCAGGAGAGACAGAGAGAGAGAGACAGAAAGAGAGAAAGAGAGAGAGTTGCCTGCATAACTGATGTCTGAACTGAAGGATAGCAGGTCTTGGCCTGCTACACAGGCAAGGTTAGGGTGGCTGCCTTCCAGCTGGCACCAGGAGGAATAAGAGATATAGTTGACAGAGTAGGTGTTGGGGACTGTGATGAGTATCTGAGATTTCAGGCAGAACCTTCCCCACAGTCCACAGCCCCAAACATGTAACAAATAAAGAGTGTTAGGATTCAGGCATTATACTGGCCTGCCCCTGTCACCTGGCAGAATGCACTCAGGCAGAACCCTGGTCAGCATGCAGGTGCAAAAGGCCCCTTTAAAAGAAAGACCTCTGCCCACTTACACTCTCTTTCCCTCCCTCTTTCCTGCTGTTCCTCTGGGGCAGCCAGGACTTTCCCTGTCTCCCTCTTCTGTCCTCTCTCTGTCTCGGTGTCTTTACATCTTTTCTCTACTCCCCTTTCCTTCCCTTTCTAATAAAACCTCTCACTAAGCTCTGTCTTCCTGGAATGTTTGCGTCCTGCCCTCCCCCCACTCCCCACCATCACCTGCCATGGAACCTGCCAAGGTCCCCCACAGGGATCTGTCTGGGGCACCAAGATCTTAAAAGAGGGGCTCCTCTCTTTTCAACTGTGCTTTGGAGTTCTTAACCCTCCTGCTGAATAGTTTTTGTTTGTTTTTGAGACAGGGTTTCTCTGTGTAATATGGCTGTCCTGGAACTCACTTTGTAGACCAGGTTGGTCTCAAACTCACAGAGACCTGCCTGGCTCTGCTTCATAAGTGATGGGATTAAAGGTGTGCACCACCACTGTCAGACATGTGCTGAATAGTTTTATGTTAACTCGACACAAGCTAAAACCATCTGAAAGAAGGGAACCTTCTCAGGAAAAGGCCTCTGAGTGAGCAATGCCATCCCTAGGCTGGTGTTCCTGGGTTCTAGAAGAAAGCAGACTGAGCAAGTAAGTCACAAAGAACAAGCCAGTGAGCAGCATCCCTCCATGGCCTCTGCATCAGCTCCTGCCTCCAGGTCCCAACCTCCTTGAGTTCCTGCCCTGACTTCAGTTAGTGGTGAACTATGATGTGGAAGCTAAAGCCAAATAAACTCCTTCCTCTCCAATTTGCTTTGGCCATGGTGTTTCATCACAGTGGCAGTAACCCTAAGATAGCTTTTTTGGCTGGGTTTCTTCATCTGCATCTTTGGCTGGAGAAGCCATTCCATGGCTCTCTGCCAGCTTTGGCTGTGGTGGTAAAGAGACTTGACATGGTGAAACATTGCCACTTTACCAGGTAAAGTCTAGCTTACTGCACTGGGGCTAAAGAACAACTGTGACAGACACATGCCCAGTGAGCCCTCGGCCCCACTCCAATCCCCACAGGAACAGTCGCTGTAAAAGACTCAAGACCACACAGGCGTGGATAAGCAGCACCTTCCCTTGACTTCGATCATCTCAACCCACAGAACTGGTTTTCTTGTTCTTTGGCATATTCCCTACATGTCCCAGGCAGAAGCTAAGCCAACAGCATTTGAGTGAGTATGTATGTATGTATGTATGTATGTATGTATGTATGTATGTATGTATGTATGTATGGCCTGACAGCAGCAATCCTGTTTAAACTCCTGGCAGAAGACAGTTATTCTCATGGCTGGCAGAAGATGGTCTATTCCCATATGGTCCTTCTCATGGCTGGCTTTCCTACTTAGATCCCAACATTAGCAAGGGATTTACCCATAGAGGGGACAGCACATGGAATTTGCTTTTGCTAAGTTACCTTATTTAGTCCTAATGTGGCCATAAGACGGCACACTTTATCTTTCCACTGCAGAGACTGAGGCTCAGGGATACTACTGATTGTTGAGGTACCATGACCTACAATCAGATGACACAGACCCCTTCCAATCCTGGTCAGTACTTTTCACTAGTGAACACATACACGGGAGATTCAGGAGATCTGTAATCACTCTGAGTGACCAGCTGAGTGACAGTATCCTCAAGTATGCACCTATGTCCAGTATCAAAGAGTACACCTCGGACTCCAGGGGACACCTAGCCACATTGTATACACCTGGACAGTAACACCTGGGGTTCCAGGGGAACCTAGAAACATGGTATACACCTGGACAGTAACACCTGGGGTTCCAGGGGAACCTAGAAACATGGTATACACCTGGACAGTAACACCTGGGGTTCCAGGGGAACCTAGAAACATGGTATACACCTGGACAGAAACACCTCAGACTCCAGGGGACACCTAGAAACATGGTATACACCTGGACAGAAACACCTCAGACTCCAGGGGACACCTAGCCACATGGTATACACCTGGACAGAAACACCTCAGACTCCAGGGGACACCTAGCCACATGGTATACATGTGGACAGGAACACTTACCTCAAACTTATGACCCTTGGCCCAATGTGAAGATGTGGGCCAGGTGAGCTTCCCCAGTACAACTTTCTTTGAGACTCAACCGCCTTTAAAAAAGGTGTTAAATACTTGTTTATTGTCTTGGTGTGTGTCTGCATGTGGAGGTCAGAGGAGACCTTAAAGGTATCAGTTATCTCCTTCCACCATGTGGGGTCCAGGGCTTGAATTCAGACTGTCAGGCCGCAGAGAGCACCTTTACTCCCTATGACCGCTTTTTCCTTTTACATTTTTCGCCCATCTTACTCTTGTCAGTGATCTGTAACGCATACCCCACAATTTTTCTCTACCCAGGTTTCTTTCTGCAGCCCATGAACAGCCTAGAGGTTCTGGATGTGTGGCCGAGGCAGGCAACTGTGGAGAGGCACTAGGAAGAACGGTTCCTGGAAGGGTGGAGCAGACATGGGCTGCAACACAACAATCCCTCCTAGTGTCTTGCCCCATCACGCCATACTAGGGCAGAGTCTAGAAGCACAACAACCCCTCCCATGGCTGGTTCCTTCAGTGGCTGACCTAAGAGACTTTCCACTCAAGCACTCTATTTCTCTGACTTCCCCGATCTTAGATTGTCACTGCCTTAAGAAAACAGACAGCAAAAGGCACAGGACAAAGAGCCACACACGGGACTAAGGAGGTGGTTTAGCAGGGAAAGCACTGGCATCATCATGAAGACCTGGGTCTGATCACCACAACCCATAAAAGCATCCCAGGCATGGTGGTATAAATTTGTAGTCTCAGCACCAGGGAGGCAGAGACAGCCAGGTCCCTGGGTTTCAGGAATAGCCAGTTCAGCTCATTTGTTGAGCTCAAGACTGCGAGATACTGTCTCTAGAAGCAGGGTGGATGGCCCTGAAGAACAGTACCCAAGTCTCTACTGGCACACATACAGGTATATGTATGTATGTATGTATGTATACATACATACATACATACATACATACAGCCAAAGGCTACAGCAGTCTCCATTGTCCAGTCAAAGCACTTTGCAATGTGTACCTATAAGTTGTTTATAAGACTCTAAAGCTACCATGGTAATTGCCATTAGTTACTCAAAGCTGTTAAGATGCAACTCAAATGCAAATACACTCTACAGAAAGCAATGAAGGTCACTTCAAACACCATTGTTAACTATTTTATCCATGTAAAATGTTCCATTTTTAACAGTTTTCCATACCTGATAAGTCACATTTTTGCTGGAGCATAAATTCTGAACTTTTTTATCTTTTCAAATTTAAGTTACAAAGATTAGTAAAGTTGAATTTTCTTTCTTTTTTTTTCATTTTCTATTTTTAAGTCCTCAGTCCCTTTTCCAAACCACAAAAAGGGATAATGAAGCAAGGATGAATGAGCACAGCAGAGTCTACAGGAACAGAAGGCACAGGGGCCTTTTGGAAGCAAGAACCTGCTCTGTGTGGTATCCTGCATGAGGTTCGGGTGTAGTGTGTAAGCGAGAGGATGCAGAGGCCTTGGGCCACTGGCTTGCAGCAGAGTAACTTTGAGGACAAACTCACACCATCATGGTCACTGTCCTTGTCACATGATAGGCTAATCCACAGGGACGCATGCATGGCATGAATGAGACTCCCAGACAGACATAAGGAGGACCACCATGTCATACTCCAAAAAAAGGAAACTAAAGCATGCTTCCTAAACATCAGGCTTTGCCTTATCAAAATCACCCATGCAGTGGAGATGAAAATGAAACCAACTGCTAACAGAAATTAATGTCTGGGGAGGCAGTGGAAATCTGGAATAGATAAAAGCTGTCTGTTTTCAGTAGCATTACTTGCGTATTGCAGGTAATTTTATTTTAATGCACAATTCACCGTACTGCTTCAGTCATAGTCAACAGCTACTGAGCTTTTCCATAGTCAACAGCTACTGAGCTAAATGTCTGTATTGATGTGCATTTCCTCTGTTTGACATGTCTCGGGAAAGACCAGTATCTCCGAAATGGTGTTTTGTATGGACGAATGTGAAAGAGGCTTACCTCATCCCATTCTAAAAGGTAGCTGGTGATTTTTGAACCATTGTCAATTGGAGCCTAAAAAAGAAAACAATGAAATGAGATTGGAGAAAGCTGTTCAGAGACAAGCTAGCAACTTGGTCAAAGATAGTGGCTGTCATGGCTCTGTGCTGTCCCCTCAGAGAGGGAACCAGCTGCTGCCGCAGGGCCTTGGTAGACACAATTACCTATTAACCTTCTACGACTCAGCTTTAAGAGCGGTCTCGTGGCTGGCAGGCCTCCCTGGACAGTGAAGCACAGCCACTTCCACCCTACCACACTCCTGCCCCTTGTCCCCTGCTTCCTCTGGGATAAAACTCTCAAGAGTCATTTTAGGTTCACTGCAGCAAGAGACAAAAAAAACCTGCTGTGCTACACACACTGCTTGAGGCTAGGAGCAGGCACAGTCATGCCTGCCTTTGTGTGACTTCCCCTCACAGCTTTGGATTTTTGTTTTGTTCTACTTTTTTCTTTAAATACTTAGGATTAGAGAACCAGCTGTGGCATTAAGTACCCCATCCTCAACCCCACCTCCTCCCATCTTACCCGCCTGTACACACACACACACACACACACACACACACACACACACACATGCACACACACGAGCATGAAGGCATGGAAAGGTTACATCCTCTGGGTAGACTACCAGAGGGGCCTATCCCTTCACATGTTAGCAAAAAGAGGCTTCATTATTTCTTGTGCTTATAAAAGAAAGCTGATATCAATGTCACCGAGCAGATAAGGTTCAACAAGGCAAGCAGAACTTCCTAGAAAAGAGAACTTATAGAACCTGAGCTATTATATTAGAAGGGGTGACACCATGGGGTTATTGTAGCACTTAGGGTAGAAAGTTCTAGAAAGACCGAGAAAATAGGAGGCAAACAGTAGGAGCCTATCTTTTCTCAAAAATATGGTATGTTTGGGTTCGGTTCTTCCTCAGAAAGAGAGGAGCCCAGCGAACTGCACCACACCTTTGCAGAAGGAATCCCAGCCCAGCTGTCTGCTTGCCAATGGTCTGTGATCTGTTTAATATCAACATGGAAATTTTATTTCCAAGAATGAAGATCCATGACGGATAACTAGAAGACTATATGTAAATCAACCATGAATATACCTAGCTTTGTAAGAAACACTCAGCAAATGGCAGCTGTTATTTTATCACTGTTGATAATAAAACATCATCAGGGCTCTGTTAAGAGCTACAGGTCTGTCTTTCCCTCCCCTCCTCCTTCCTGCTGAGCCAGCTTGCAGGTGAGTTGGGAACTGAAGGTCTGAGCTTCAGTGGGTCTGGGCTGGGGGCAGGGGAGGGTGAGGGTGAACTTCTAGGTAACTGGCAGAGCTTTCAGGAAAATCCAATTCTTTGGCTTTCTCAGTTTCTTTGTGGCATCAAGAAGAGGAGGCAGGTAGAAGTCTCTGGTGAACATGCCTTTACCCAGTGTGCTACCAGGGAGCCTACACAGCACATTTAAACAGACACTGAGCTCAATCTGCCCTTTGCAGATGACTGAATGGAACAGGGTAGTTTTGATTCCCAAGTGACTTCTCTAGAAGCTGCTGGTCCATCCAAGACCCGAATGTCACCCAATCAAAGAACAGACACATATCAGTGATTCCCAACTTTAAGTTTGTAAGACCCCGGGGTCCCTCTGGTAATCTTCAGATTTCTTGTATTTTTTTTTCCAAAAGGAATAGATTTTAAATCTTTCCTTCAGAAAAGATAGATTCATACTATCTCACATGAACTTATTTTTTTTTTTTTAAATGGATGTGTTTTGCCAAGGAATTAACCAACAATGATGAGCAGTTGGGTGCTAAAACTCTGAAAAGGTGGGAAATCACTGACCTGGATTATCCCTGGAAGCCAGGAAGGAAAATAAAAAAGTTCAGTCTAAGCCAGTTGAAACTTTGCCTTTGTCCCAACAACACAGTCAGTGTCAGCCACTGACTATGAACATGGCTACATATACCAGGATACAGAGAAGCCTGGCTACAGACTCTGTCACTCTACTCTCTCCCCAGACCTCTAACCCCCTCCACACTCTGGAACCATAAGCCTCCATCATTGCCAGCTATTTGACACTTTCTAACTACATTTTAAAATAACCAAGACAGAGAAATAATGATTGGAAAGGGTGATACTGATCTGTTTTCTTGAAAACAGGAAACTGTGATTAACAGGCTAATGTCATATTTTAAAGAAGGGGCACACTCTAAGATCACTTGCTAGGCAATGGTTATTTTTAGACAGTACACACTGTATTCCATGAAAACTACTGCATAGTTCAGGCTGTTAAAAATAGGAATCCTGATTGAGCTAATGACTAACTAGTGAAAATTAATGAAGTCTTAATGGAGTATAGAACACAATATATTCTGGGAAGCTTTAACTATTAAGCATTTCATCTTTACTTACAAAGAAGCTAAAAGAATCAAACCCGCTTTATCTTTAAACCTTCAAAATGCATGCTGGAGTTTCCAAACGTTTGCAGAAATGAACTCAAGTAGTAGAAAGTGATGGAATTGAGGGGTTTTCGGTACTTGTGTCACCTGTGACACACCGGGAGAGACACCGGTTCCTGAGAAGGTGCTCACACTGGACCCTGCAGGTCCTTCCTCCCACCTCCTCTGCCTGTCATGCAAACAGCTCCTTCCGATCCTCATCACTGGGTTCACGCAGTGATTACACAGCAAACCAAGCCCCGGTGCAAGCGGGATGTGTGAAGTGGCCACTGACTGCCTTGCCACCACTGTGAACATATTCTTGGCACTCTGAGCTACTCACCTTCCACTGCAAGGTGAGTGAACTCCTGCTCCTGTGTGCCAGTTTTGGGGGGAAGGGGCACTCCGGTGCACAGCTGTGGGTGGTAAAGCTAACGGCTTCAGAGCAGGCTCCCTTGACGGAATTGTACATGGCGTATACTCTGCAAAGGAAACAGACGGGCCAACTGAGCAGCAGTGGTTGAGATCCAAGATCAAGCTGTGAGCCGAGACTCACTTCATCCATGGCCTTTCCATAGCTGAGCAGGAGTTCTTACACAGGGGACCACCATGCTCTTGTCCTTAGCTAGCACTGGTCACTAATTACAGGGACAACCATCTTATGAGGTGTGACTTCCCAAAAGTTCCCACTCAGTCCCACTGCAACAGAGGTAACTCTGCTGACTGGAGTAGCATGCTACACGAGGGAGTGGAGGGAGCTTCACTTCCAAATGGCCTCCATATATACATTCTAAAAACCAATAGGCTTGGCTTGGATGGCTAGAAAAGGGTGAAAAGTACACTTGCTAGGAGTTAGTGAAAAGGAATGTGACCAGCGTTCACAGACTGCAGAGAAGGAATAGAAGAACAACAAGGTAGATGACACCTCAGCACTAGTAAGAGAAACACATATATAGAAGGACACCCCCATGACAGCACTTCTCAGAGCACCGTGTACATTTAGGTAAAAATGTGGACACTTTGCCTGAGAAACCTGTGGGCTACTGCCAAATGCATCTCTCTGCAATCCAACAAAGACAGCATTCCAGCACAGCCCATCAACACGCATATTTAATGCCCCCCCACAGCACCAAGATTAATGATTTTCTCTGTACTCTGAAGCACTTGGCTCAGCACTTAATGTATGCAACTGATTTTAGAGTATGTAACTAAAAGGGGCTCAGCACAAATGTACACTCCATCCTAAAAGGCAATATAAGAGTCCATCTTATATTGTGTTATTTGCCTCATGGGAGGATATCACAGCATTTGAGGAAAAGAAATGATACAACTGTGAGCATCCGCCCTGCCCAACTCAACTGAGAAAAGGCTCCTCCCTGTACACAGTGTGATGATGAATGGGACAATGCCAAACCAACGGCAGTCCATGTGTCATGATGGACTCAAGGAACCATACACTGTTACAGACATGGTCAGATTCAAGCTTAAATTTTATATCACAATTCTCCAGCAGAAGTCTTATGGGCTGTACCTGGACCAGGATCTACTTGTGTTGGAGGAGACCTGGTGTCTTTAAATATCAGTGTCATCTATAAACTTTAGGGTTTAGACTAATATCACCACAAAGGAGATAAACCGATGCTATGTATTTCCAATATATGGTCATAGCACCTGAGTAGTGAAGTGCACACCTATGATTCCTGCATGAAGGAGGCTGAAGCAGGATTGTGACTTCACAGGTGCCTTGAGCTACTATACTAGTAGATTTTGACAATGTAACAAAAGCTAGAGAGTCATTTGAGAAAAGGGTACTTCATAGAGAAAATCCCACTATCAGACTGACTTGCAGACAAGCCTGTGGGGCATTTACTAGACTGATGATTAATGTGGTGGGGTCCCATTAAATAAAAATCAAAGCCCACAGTGGGCAGAGCCATTCCTGGGTACCTAGGAATGGTAGACGGCATAAGAAAACAGGCAGGGCAAGTCAAGAGGTGCAAACCACAGGCAGACTCTCTCAAAGGCCTCTGCTTCAGTTCCTCCCACCTCCAGTTCCTGCCTTGACTTCCCTCAGGGACGAAGAGTTGTAAACTTGAGTCAGGTGTGGCAGTGCAAGCCTTTAAAGCCAGAGGCTGAGGCAGACTGATTTTTGAGTTCAAGGCCAAATTCTAGGACAACTGGGACTACACAGGGAAACCCTACTTCTAACAGTTTTAAGCTAAAAGAAACTCCTTGATTTCAAAGTTGTTTTTGGTTATGATGTTTTTTCACATCAATAGAAACCTTAACTAAGAATTACAAAATGAGTTCTAAGCCAGCCTAGGCTGCATAGTAAGATATGCAAACAAACAAACAAAAGCAAATGCAAAGGACAAGCCTTTGTCTATGAATCTGTGTGTAGATCTGATTATATGTCATTGCCACCTTCCTGTAAATTTAGAGGACAGGGAGGCATATTAAGCAATCAGAGAAACTTTAGTCAGCTAAACTGACAAATATGGAATACTCTACAGGACATGAAATGACCCCAATAAAGACATAAAGACCTAAGGAAAATCTATAGAGTTAAAGAAATTTGAGACTCATTAACCAAATGGCATATGCAGGCTACATCGGAATTTTCATAACAACAAATGAAAGAAAGGCAACCCTTCATTTTTAGGACAACTGAGGAAAAGTGAGCAATCTCTGAGTTTTGAAGACATTAAGAATTACTACTATGTTTTATGTGGCATGTAAAGATGGTAATATTATTTAAAAGTGAAATATATAATATCTGGATTTGACTTCAAGGTCTTTGATAAAACAGAGTTTGGCAGAGAAAGAACCCGAGGAGAGTAGTAAAAGTTGGATATGGTTATATGGGCCACATGGAGATACCCCGCTCATCTATAATTGCAGAGGCTGTTAAAGAGTTTGGTTCCAGCACCCGGGAAGCAGACACAGGTGGATCTCTGTGAGTTCAAGGACAGCCTAGTCTATAGAGTGAGTGTCAGGACAGCCAAAGCTACACAGAGAAACCCTGTCTCAAAATGAGGGAGGGAGAAGGGGAGGAGGTAGAGGGAGAGAGAGAGAGAGGGAGAGAGTGCAAGCATGTAGTCAGTATGTGTGAGGGTCTAAGGGCATGGGTTTAATCTCCAGCAAACCCTAGTCCAAAGTCATTTAAATGGTCAGCGTGTAATTTTAAAGCATACTATTAATGTGGTATAGTCAGTAAAATTTGATACATTATCTAATCACATCAGGATTATTTATTAGCTAAAATGGTTCAGTAAATAAACTAACCAATTGTAACTGTAACAGTAGCTTGCTACATTCTTACACACGATGTCTATAAAAAAAAAAAAAGGTTGAAATCTTTGAAAATGAAGTTTGTATTAAATGTTCCAGGGGCCAGCAACACGGCTCAGTGGTTAAAGGCACCTGTCACCAAGCCTGATGACCTGAATTTGATCCTTGGAACCCATCCCTCAAGTTGTCCTCTGATCTCCATATGCAAACTTCCCCCAATCAAACAAACACATAAATAAAATAACCCAAAATCTCCCCCACAAGGGTGATGGCTTTTCCCTAAGACAGGAAGCATAGGATCATTTCCTTGATGAAACAAATCATTGGATTTTCTTTTGTACTTAACCTCCCAAACCAGAACATTTTCCTGCATAATTAATTTTCTGTTGGGTTCCATATTGGTTTCCATGTCTATACCAGCCAAACACTTAGGAAGCAGGTGCTCCAAGATTTTCATCAGAAGGCTTGCAGCTCCTTCCACACATGTGGGACAACCCAGGAGCCGCAGGCTACTTTATAACTTCACCCTGGACTGGTGACATGATGTCACTTCTGGCAAATTGCTTACACTGGTGACTGAAAAAGTGCCACCAAGTCTATCATGGGCTTGCTGTCCATCCCGTCACTCAAAGCCCTGATGGGGCTACTACTGACAGAAATAGAAGTTCCTGTTTTTGAAGTGAAGTTGGAATTTGTTTTTTTAAAGGCTTTGCTATAGACTGAAGCACAGACAAAAGAAAGGGGGCAAGGACAGTGATGACTGTTGCTGGAGTTCCTTGTCCTGCCAGGTCCTGCTGCCCTCAAGCCCCAAATAAGCACACAGATGCTATATTAATTGTTAAACTATTGGCTGATGGCTAGGGCTTCTTACTGGCTAGCACTGTCTTAATTATTAACCTATTTCTATTAATCTAAGTATTTCCATGTGGTCTTATCTTACTGGAGAAGGGTCCAGGCCTGTTACTCTTTCCTCTGCTACATGGTGTCTCCTTGTAGCCTCTCTCAGCCTATCTTTCCCAGAATTCTCCTTGCCTCCTAATCCTGCCTATCTTCCTGCCTCTATTGGCCAAACAGTGTTTTATTCATCAGTCATTAAGAGAATCATAGGTACAGCAGGGCATCCCCCATCAGATGACAGTAGCCCATGCCCTGGGAGTCCCAAGGGTCAGTACTTATGGTCTGAGTCCCAGGTTCCCAAAGTAAAAGTCACCTCAGCACCACTGTTAACCTTATAAATCTGCCAACTAAGGCAGAAATGCCTGGAAAGAAACTTTGTAGACTTGTATTTATTTATATAGAAATGTGTGTGTGAGTGTACTCCTTCTCTTTAACAACTATGCTAGATTTAATTTTAATGGCTTTATACAATACATAACATTATATTCCTAATAGAAAGACTAATTATATTTTGATAATTATAAATTGATTCTTTTTAAACATTAGATTAGTTAATTAAAATGACTATTTTAACAAAACTCCAAGAAAAGACCTAAATTTTACAAATATATGTATACATTACATAAAGATATTTTTGCTTCAATCACAACAGTAATAGCAATGACAACGTGGTAGAACAGACTTGTAGAAATACCACATATATGTTTATAGGGAAAACAAAGAAAAAGAAACTTTTTAAACTTCAAATGAGTTTGAACATAATTTTCCACATGGCACATGGCTCAGATGGCAGATGTCAATAAAAATAGCACATAATTGATAGCACGGCCTAGAGGATGTCCTGGTCCCAGTAAACCCCATTGATTTGAGGGGTGACCAAAGGCAAGAGCTGTTCCTGGCCAGGTACCCAAGACCAACCACCAGGCAATTTGTGCTAAGATTCCATCTGGAGAAGAACTCTCTATGTAGAAAACAGTTTTGTTGTATCCTATCAGTACTCACATGGGGAGAAGGATCAAAAATGAGAAAAAGCAGTATGAAAAGATATCAGACAATCTGTGGGTAGGATAAAACCAGAGCAGAAAAAAAAAAAAAAAAAATCTGAGGCAGAGGAAGAGAACCAGTGAGAAGAGATGGGGACAGGAAAAGGAAATGGGGCTGAGTATGAACAAAGTACAATGATAAACGAAAATATCACAATGAAGCCCATTATTCTGCACATGAAAACAAAGCAACAAGGCCTACATGTAACTTCAGCATGCAATTAATTTAGGAATGAAATATTTATGTGCCAAGATGTCTGTTGGTCTCAATGAAAATTTCAATGTTAAGAATTGGAAGGGGGACTGTGGCTCAGAATGCTGAGCACCACATAAACCGGGTGTGGTGGCCCACACCTGTCATCCTAGCACATGGGAGGTATCAGGCAGAAAAGCAAGTCAACTCATCCCTGGCCACACAGACCCTTTCTCCAAACAGCAAAACAAACAAAAAATAACATCAGGAAAGGAAAACATAGCCCATTTTATGCTGTTAGAAGAAATATCCCGGTTGTCTTAGCTCCACGGGCTTGTAGCCAGGTGACGTTTCTAAATTCCTAATGAAGGGGGTCAGGGGCTTAGCTCTCCTTTTGTGGGCTGTTGGGTGATACAGGTCTTCCACAGCAAATAATATTTCCACGCAGTCCTCTGCAGTGACTACTGAATTTGCTATTGATACATACTCCTGGAACTTTGCAAGTTTGCTGTATCATTATAGAATATTACCGAAAACCACAACTGATCAAAATGCAGAAAACAAGAGATCATGTGATGCATCTAAGAACACAATTCCTGAACCTTAGGCTAAGGACTCAGTTCAGAAGTGCAGGGTCAGGGAGCCAGAGGCACAGGGAGTTTCCCATGAGACTGTCCTCTAGAAATATCAGGGGCAGGGGCACTACACCCCTGAAGACTCACAACATGGCTTCCTAAACAATACAGACATGCAATCTTGGAGGTAGAGAACTCAAGAGGCCTCGGCCCTAGACAACAGCCTGTGAGCAACTAAGGAATGCTGAGAGCCAGAAGTAATCTTCCTCAGGGAACGGCCTCCCCAGTTGCCATGCAATACCAAGGGGTCAGCCCTGGGAACACATACACATGCAATTAACGTTATATGGACTGAGAAAGTTGTAGTGACATATTTAGGATATTTACATAACTCAACAAGTAAAGAAAAAGAGGCCATGAATTTGAGAGTTAAGTGAGGTATATGGAAGGGGCTGGAAGGTAGAAAGGGAAGGGATAAATGATGTGCTTACAATTTAAAAAAATAATTACTGTTACAAAAAGATCCAGTTATCAAATGTTCTCCGAGTTTCCTCCATATGAGAAAGGGCAGATTTGTCATGACATTCAAGTTTCTTGAGAGTATTGTAAGGCATGAAAGGAACAGGAAACTAACAAAATAACCCTTGGGTAAAGCACCAACGATAACCCATGAAAGCAGGGAGTGAAGGGGAAACCCACATGTGCTAACCATGAAATGGACTGCACTCCATGAGTATCATGGTGGTAACTCTTCCAGTTTGTTCAACTGACCACTTGAAGAATGGTTCAGCAGTTTTGGTTTTCATCCTAGCTTTACAAATACACTTTTGAGTGATGTCTGAAGTATCTGTGTGGAAGCTAAGGATCCAGAACCACAAGGCTCTGGTTTAAACAGAAGTAGCTGTGGCAGTAGAGTTCACATATACCACACAATGCCAGACAGATGGTCACTACGATGACATAGAATAACCAAGTTTAGAGCACATATGTCCCTAATGAGCACACTGCAACCTCAATGCATGTTTCCCTCCTTTCCCCATTTGAAAGAGGATCTCATTTGCCAGGCTGGCCTCCAATTCCCTATGTAGCCCAGGATGACCTTGAACTTCTCAAGTGCTGGGATTGCATGTGTACAATAGCACACTTTTCTTTCTCTCTCTTTACGTTTCCACATTTAATTAAATGATTACTCTCTGTATGTGTGCATGCGTGCATGTGTGCACATGTCAGAGGACAGCTCATGGAGTCAGTCCCTCCTTCCAGTGTGTGAAACTGAACTCAGGTTTGGTTTTAGGAGTTTCTATCCATCACATTCACATCACTTCTGTTAAAGAGAAAACCAGGCCGTAGAATTTTTATTGACGTTGAAATTAAAACAGCTGATTTATGGTAGAACTAAACTAGAATTTGATGGGGGATGTCCTTCTGTTTATATGTTTCTTTTATTGGTTGACGAATAAAACACTGTTTGGCCAGTAGAAGCAGGAAGATAGGTAGGACTAGGAAACTAGAAGAATTCTGGGGAGAGAAGAGATGCCGTATAAAGACCAGGAAGACAGGACAAGCCAGGCATTTTCAGGTAAGATAAGGCCATGTAGAAATACATAATTAGTAGTTATGGGTTAATAATTAAGAAAAAGCTAGCTAGTAAGAATCCTGAGCCATCAGCCATCAGATTATAATTAATATAGTGTCTGTGTGTTTATTTGGGGGCTAATCTGCTGCTGAACCATGCTAGAAAGAATCTCCAGCAATAGAAAGAACTTTAGCCTCCAACCAGGCTATTCTGTCTCCATTCAGTCACAAGGGCTTCATTTATTTTCTGCTGAACTTGGAAACTAACATTTAGAAGTCTGCCTAGTTGGATGGATGGATGCACCATTAAGTACTGAGATGGGCTCCAAGCAATTTGGATCTCAGGGTGCTCTATCAGGATGGCCAGGCTTCACATAAACCAGCTAGTTCTGTCTGCTGGGGTCACATCATGGACCTCAGAAGAACCACAGAGGATTTGCAAACTATAGGTCACTCTACAAGGGCTTCTGCTTGGTCAAAATGGGTTTATTCACATCAGAGATAATTCATCTCTGCATTATTTGCCTATTTCAAAATCTACTGGCTTTTAAGACCCAAAACTGTTCTAACACAGGAAAGCCTATTCCTGTCATTGGGTCTGAACACAGAGGTTCTATCTATGATGAGCCACTGATGACTCTATGGTAAAACACAAACACACCCTTGATGTATGTATGTATGTATGTATGTATGTATGTATGTATGTATGCTAAGAAGACATTATATGCTAAGCCATGCCATCCAATAGATCTTAGAAGCTTTTATAAAAATCATTGTTATTGTTTTGTGGGGCAAGGGGGAACCCGGAGATGGATGTTGGGCATTTACCTTAATTGCTACTCTTTGAGACAACGTAGTTCACTTTACTGACTGAGTCAGCTCCCCAGCCCTAAAATTAATTTTTAAAAATAAACATGCTGTTTAGAACACCTCCCTTATTTGTTCCAGAGCAGCCCTGGGTCCTCAAACTTGCTGTGCTCTGTGTACAGAATGTGAACAAATGGCCATGGCTCTGGGCCCACACATTCAGGGGGAGGTGCCATTCAGTCCATTGGAAAGGAGGCATGGATGCACGTTGGTGACATGGGCTCTACATCTACTTCCTGGGGTGATTTCTAACTTACCTCACGTGGTAGTCAGTGGCAGGCCTGAGATCTTTCAGGTTGCATTCCAATTCTTCTCCACTGCAAAGACAAAAGATTGGTTAGTTTAATACTGATCTTAACGTCAAAGCAGCTTTGGGACAGGGTTTCACAGACATTTGCCAACAGTAACTCAAATACTACTAAGTCTGCCTTCACTAAAACCCAGAAATAAACCCTATTTGGTGGTTGTCTTTTTTAAAATAGAAAACCAGATTCCTTTGAATGATGCTGCTCAGATCTAAGAAACAACAAAGTCAATTAAGTTTTATGTGTCTTATGATTCTCTAAACCAAGACATCAAAGTAAATAAGTAGAGAGGCAGGCCTGCAAGAAAACATGGCAGCTGTCTAAAAGGTGGCTCCCAGACTTCCCCTTGCAAGAACCCCAATGCCCTCAGCAGCGGCCCCCCCTCTCCGCAATGTATTTATAGTTCAACCCAGGATCCCAAGGAACAGACATAAGTAAAACCACTTCTGTGAGCCAAAGGGGAAACTGCCTCAATCTAAGTGATAAAGAAACAAAATAAGGCATATTCTGTTTAATTGTGCCCAAAAGGCCAGGTGTGGTCACACATACCTGGAATCCGGAACTAGGGTGTTGAGGCAGGATAACCATAAGTTCAAGGCCAGGCAAGAGAAAGATATAGCAAAACCCTGATTTAATTTTTTTTTTTTTAAATGGATGGCATGTGTGTGTATCCATACCTTATTCCTCATTCTTCAAAATTATCAAGTGACATATTAAAAGAGACTGGGCAACTAAGTGAATTATTTGGCACTATCCTGAAGGAATAACAACACTAACTCAGTTTTCAGAACAAGAGATTCATAAAGTCAGTTGGCAAAACTAGAATTAGTTCTGATAATTAACAAAACTGATAATTACAACATGGCTATCTATAAAAATATCCTTGTGCTCAGAAAACATGAAATACCTAGTGGTAAAAGATTGTGATGTCTGAAAGTAAAGAAATTCATGTAGAAGAGAAAAAGACACAGCTAGTAAGTTTAATATAGTAAAAGGTTAGTGATAGAAACATATGTATAGAAGATACCTGCACACATTGCATCCATCTTTATACCCAATGTTTGCTACATCTGAACTTCTCCCAAATAAAGTTGTTCTAAGTTTCAAACCAGAAGCTATGTCCACACTTAGCCTACAGCTCTGAAGCTTGGCTTGCATTGCAACTGAAAATGTTCTGTGAGCTGCACAACTAGATAGACATGACAAAGACAGCACAGTCGTTGAGACTTTTAGCATCTACTGGAAGTGTGGGGGAGACCTAAAGAATCAACAGATCCCAACAAATGAAGTTGAAGGGTAAGTGCTCCCTTCCAGCAAAGACAGGCTTCCAAACCTAAGCCACAGTCTGCACTCTATTGCATACCTAGATCCTTGGGGTACCCGGGACTCTAGCTGTCAGCATCAGTGTTTATCTCAAATCAATGGGATGTATCTAGCCAAGGGCAGTGGTGTGCACCCGAACTCTATCCCTGTAGTCCTAGCTCCTGGGAAGTCTGAGGGATGAGGATTACATGAGTTCTTCACCAGCCTGGGTAATAAAGCAAGACACCTATCCCATCTCTAATATCTGAGTGAAGAGGTGGAAGGCTTTATTCTTTTCCAATGCATATCTAAATGTGTATTTTTTAAAAAAATAGAATAAAATGATTGAGAGCCAGAGCACAAAACTGAGGTTTTATTCCAAACAAAGAAGGCAATCTCTAGAGTGCTCTTGGAAAGGAGTGATGGCATGGCCTCTGGTGTGGCTCTACGGGGAAGACATCTGATGATTCAGGGTGAGAGCAGGTGCAGGAAAGTCAGGGGACATAGCAGGGACCAAGGAAGAGATGTCAGAGCAGAATGGGAAGAAGGGTCAGCACTGCAATGGCTCTTTTCTTATCTCTTTTTCTCTTTACTAGTCCACAAGTCGGCTTATCTGGGCAGGACATCATGAAAGTAGAAGAGAAAGTGGGCAACACTGCAAGGCATCGATGGGAAGAGAACTGAAGAGAAAGAAAGGCTTCTGGCTGAGACACAAATGGGATTTGTGTGAGGGAGTTACACTGCCATGCCCAGTCCATCAGGGCCACCCATGGGGAGGTCCAACAAGGAGTTCAAATAAAGCTGACTTTCTGATTTCTTGCTCTGCAAGCGTGAACCATATAAAGGAGAAAGGACTTGACCCTAACATTTTTACCACATTTAGAAAACAGCTATAAACCACTAGATCAGCTGATGTGTGGAACTCTGTAAAACAGAGGCTAATCTTGCCCTCGGAGAGCTCAACTCAGAGCCATTTAATAAAGCCTCTTAACAAAATGTTTTAAAGGAACCTTCAGTACAGTACAGAGGGTAAAAGGCAGGGTGAAACAGAACCAAAAAATAGTGTAGCTTTCAAAAGACAGGCTGTGATAGCATCAACATAATTGGCCCCATAAGCTCATAGGGAGTGGCAATACTGGAAGGTGTGGCTTTGTTGAAGTAGGTGTGGTCTTGTTGGAGAAAGTGTGTCACTTTTGAGGTCTTTGTGCTCAAATATTGTCCAGTGTCACAGCACACTTCCTGCTGCCCTCTGTTCAGGATGTAGCCAGCACCATGTAGGCCTGCAGGCCACCATGCTCCCTGGTGCAATGTTCCCCATCACGATGATAATGGACTGAACCTCTGAACTGTGAGCTGCCACCTCAGTTAAATGTTTTCCTTTCTACGAGTTGCTGTGGTCACGGTCAGGTCACAGCAATAGAAACCCTAACTAAGACTCAGGCCTAGAAAAAGAAACGGCTCTAATGTAGCTCACTTCACAGCCATTTGATTATGTCTTTACTGAAAAATTTAATCACTTTTTGTCCTAACAGACCTTGGTAGAAAATTTTTACTAATAGTATACTGACAACTAGCATATAATCAAAAGGTTTATTTCACCATATAGCCCTATATTATTAATTTCTCATGAATAGGTAGTTGGACAAAATTAATTAATTCCTGGGACTATAATTACTATTCCTCTTTCCAGTACTGAGACTTGAACTCAGGGCCTCATGCATGCTAGGCAAGTGCTCTGCCAGTGAGCTATACCCTCAGCCCCGTGATTACTAATATTTAAAATTACTGACTAAAAAGGTAATTTGCATAGTTTGAATTTGCCACCTTTTTCTCTTCAATGATGCAACGTAGTAGCAAAGAAAACCATGTGGAAACATACACTACCTGTAAATGATCTTGTATTTCCCATCTCTCCCTTTGTCAGATAAGGCAACCTCATAGCTGTAAGGAAAGGATAGACCACCATGGGGTCCACAGGACAGTCCAACAGGGGGTGCCCAGGACAGCACAACTGCTCTTGCTTGGATATTAGACACCTGAAAAAAAAGAGGGTGGGTTAAAAGTGTCCACATGCATTCCCCAATTGCACATGATTCTGGCACAGCTGCCCATAGCTTTGTTATTAGTAACTATGACACAAAAATTAATTCAAGGCAGCTTTAATTTTAGTCAAAGTCCTATCTATTGCCCTTTTGTTAAAGGCCTGATGTCCAAAGGATGCTGGGCTCCTGCAGCATCATCCTCAGTGCGCAGGCTCACTGAGTCTGACAAACACTCATGCTGCTCACTACCTGACAATTTCAAGGTAAGCAAAGGTGTTTCCTAGGGCCTTCCAGGTTGGCTGGAAGTTCCAGTTCCAGGTTGGCTGTTGACCTGTCCTGTGAAGGTAACACTGGCCCCATGGAGACCCTGGAGTCCTATGTATTCCCAGGAAACAGCAAGTGCCTTGATTTCTAATCACCACTGCTGTGTCTGCTCTAGCTACAGGCCCTCCTCAGGCACAGCTGGACACTCCCTGCTGCCCACAGCTCCAATCTGCTCATTTAGAACAAGTCCAGCCATGGCTTCCTTCCCAGCCTGGTCTCAGCTGCACCTCTGTCTCAGGCTCTCTAAGTCATTTCCCAAATAAGTATCTGTACGATCCATGTTTTAGTGCCTGCTTCTAAAGAAACCTAACCTGATGCATTAGGCTTAATTCTTTTTTATTTTATTTATTTAATTCATTATTTTACATGTCGATCCCAGTTTCCTCTCCTTCACTCCCTCCCTACTTCCCTCTCTCTTACCCTCTCTGTCCCCTCCAAGCACCCTGACTACACTCCCCTCCCATCCCCCCACACCCATTCCACTTGTAGGGCAATGCTATCTAGGTGGGATCATGTAGATCTGTCAGGTCATTTGAAGTGGGGACTAGAGCTTCTCTCCTGTCTCTAGGTTAAGGGAGTATCCCTCCATGGGGAATGTGTCCACAAGGTCCTTTTGTGCACCAGGGATACATCCTGGTTCCACTGTCTGAGGTCTCTTAGACTGCTCAGTCCTTCTGGCTGAGACCCATATTCAGTGGGGCCTGAGTCAGTCCCATGCTGGATTCCCATCTATCAGTCTGGGGGCCCGTTAGCTCCTCCTTGTTTAGGTCAGCTGTATCTATGTGTTTCTGCAACCTGGTCTTGTCCTCTCCCTCTGCATCTGGATTCTAGTTTGACTCAGTGTTTAGGTATGGGTGTTTGCTTCTGTTCCCAACAGGTATTAGATGAGGGCTCCATGGATAAGTTAGTTGTTGATCTCACTATCCGGGAAGGGCATTTATGGTAGCCTTTACATGGATGCTCAAATTGTTAGTTGGCAGCAGTCTTGTAAGCCTCTAGACCTTTCTGTTTTCTCTTCAAACTAATAATGGCTCCCTCTTTTATGTTCTCTCTCTCTGTCTCTCTCTGTCTCTCTCTCCTGTCTTCTATTCCTACCCTGACACAGGACCAGGCAATCCCCCTCTTAGGCATATACCCAAAGGATCCACAGCCATGCAACAAAGACATCTGCTCAATTATGTTCATAGCAGCATTATTTGTAATAGCAAGAACCTGGAAGCAACCTAGAGGCCCCTCAACTGAAGAATGGATAAAGAAGATGTGGCATATCTACACAATGGAATACTACTCTGCAGGAAAAAATAATGGAATCTTGAAATTCACAGGCAAGTGGAGGGCACTTGAAGAAACCATCCTGAATGAGATAACCCAGTCACAAAAAGAGGAACATGGTATGTACTCACTCATTTATGGATTTTAGACTTAGAGCAAAGGATCACCAGCCTATAATTCACACCACCAGAGAAACTAGGATACAAGGTATATTCTAAGAGATTCATATAAAGTCCCTCACAGAAGGGGGGAGGGACAAGTCCCCCAGGGCTCAGGGGAAGTGGGGGGGCAGTGAATGGAGAGAGAAGTAGGAGAAAGGTGGGGGGAGGAAAGCACGTGCAACTAGGCCTAATTCTTTAATAAAAATCTAACAATGGCACTTTCAAACTTTAATTTTTTTTTTTAGAGACTATTACAACGTGGGTCCTGGTCTGGGTAACTCATTAAATGAACAAAGGAGTGAGACTCAATATAAATGCTAAAGCTTAGTGTTCACCCTGTCTTTATAGCTGCCTACTTTGGCTCTAGGTGGGATACACCACCATGCAGTCCCTACAGTGTTCTCTTATTTTGCCACTATCTGGTCAATATAAACAATGGAAATCTATATACTCAAAATAATTTGAAAGCACAAATGGTGGATAGGGAGACAAATGTTGAGCATTGTTATTCATTCTGCTACTTATTTCAATTTTAGCAGACATTTCTTCTATATACTTTCTGTTCTGTATAGATATAGCACCATGGCACATTTAGTCAGATCCCTCTTCATCCTTTGAGACCACAGGAGAACTTTGCTCATTGCCACCACGGAGCCTTGATGCATGTGAAGTGATCCACTCAGTATCACGCCTCTGCTCAGTAGAGACTGCCACCACTATTAATCACATCCGCAACCTGACGGACTCTAGCTCTCCCAAAGGGCACAAACTAAGTCATATTCAATGATGCACAGTGGCTGCTAAATAAGTGTTTGTCAAATAAAAACTAAATCAGAGAGAATATGGTACATTCAGTTTCTTTGTTGTTTTGTTTTGTGTCCCTGGCTTTCCTGGAACTCACTCTGTAGACCATGCTGGCCTCATGCTCACAGAAATCTGACTGCATCTTTGTCCCCAGTGCAGGGATTAAAGGCATACACCACTACCACCTGGCTCCATTCAGTTTCCCAAAGAGGTAGCACAACACATACAGATGTATAATGTCTCTGACTCTTTGGACACGCGAGAGATCATCAAAGGACCAGTGTCCAGCCTTTCAGCTGGGGCTCCAGACTGCAGCCCTCTTGCTGCCAGCCTTCCACTGAACTACACCAACTAATGGGCCAGAATGTGGGACCAGGAACTACCCTGGCCTCTGATCTGCAGACTGACTGTCCACAACCTCCATGGTCCTCTCCTGCCCCAGTTTTGGTCTTTCCCACTGCCCTGGGCTTAACAAACTTGTAAACCCAGGTCAAATGCTGCCTTTGTTTCCACAGGAGTAGTCACAGTGCCCTTGTGAGAGCTCTGGAGAAATGGATCAGGACATAGTGTCCAGGTTCACAGAGCCCGGGGAATAATTACAAGAGACTGTGAAACTGACAGGCTCTACAAAGAGACAAATAAGCCCCTGGCATGTTTGTGAAGGTTTATCTAGATCAGGTTCATGCAGGTGGGATGAGTCTGAATGTGGGTGGCACCAATCAATGAGCCAGTGTCCCAGACTGGATAAAAAGGAGGAAATGAGTCAAGTACCAACATTCATCATCCCTGCTTTCTAACTAGGATGCACTCTGACCAGCTGCCTCTGCTCCTGCCACCACCATGTCCCACCTTTGGTGGACTACAGTACTTCAAAGTTTGCGTCACTATGAGCCCTTCCTCCCTTATGCTGCCTTGCTCAGGCACTTTGTCAAAGCAACAAGACAAGAAATGAATACAAGATGCACAAGGGCAGACAGGCACTGCAGAGCACTGGGGGCAGGCCGGGGCAGTCTGTGAACGGTCTTCAGTGTCCACTGGCTCGTGTGCTCTGGCCACACTTTCTGTCCCCTGGGTGGTTATTCCACTGCTGGGGCATTGATCTCTTGTTGGCTGATTTCTTCAATTAACTTTTCAGACAGTTTCTCATATAGAATATAAAATTCATCTGTATACCTGCTTGAGTAATCCTGAGCTATAGAGTATTTCTGTAACTTTAATTCCAAAGGTGCTGTTTCATTATGGAAGGTTCAGCTTCCATTAAGAAGAGGAGGCTCCCTTACCTGGTAGACACTTGCTGAGGTGATAAGTGACTGCCTTGCACCATTCCATGATTCCAGTGGGTAGTGACACCTACTCTACGATGAGTGGTGTGAACTTGCACATCTACAAACAGTCTGGTGAAAGCCAGGCCTCCAGATGGCAAACACACACATTCATAAATTCACACCCTTCACACTTCACCTTTCCTATCAACTGCTCAAACATATGTTCCTCCTTGAAGATTTAGTTATTTAAATGAGCCTAGAAGTGCCAGCTTAGATAGTGTTTACTTCTCCCTAGAAGATGAGCCAGCCTATATGTAGGCACTAGTGGAAAAGCAACCCTGCTAAGAGCCTTCCCAACACAAGTGCATTCTGGGAAATCAGCACTGCTTCCCGAGGACAGATGTTCCTATGAATTCCTCCCTCAAGCTCTGATGGCCACTGGCATCCTGTAGGAAAGAGTGCTGGGCATCCCTTTGGACTTGGAAGTCACTTCTACTTCCAGGTGGACTCCAGGAAACTATAGTTGTCGTCTTTGAAGACAATAACACCCTTGGTCAACCCTTGGTCCCAGATGTATTTACATCGAATGGGTCAAGGCTAGGGTGGTACAATGAGATCGGAACTGGGGGTCAACCCACAACAGGTATCTACGTGTCTGTGAACTTCACAATGCCAACACCTCTCTTTGTGCCCAACCTTTCTTGCCAGTGCTGATCACAGGGTCACCCAGAATGCTGCTCTTTTGTTCACTGCAGTGACCACTATGGTTACAGACAGTTCCTCTAAATACACTAGCTTTTAGGGCATTTGAAGGGGTTGGCCACCATGAGCAACAGTGGCAGAAGCAGTGATTAGTTCTGTATTATGGACAAAGGTAATACATACAAAGGGTCTCTGGGAAATGTGTGACCTAAGTCTGCATAGGGATCAGTCAACTGTCTAAAAATGCCTTGAGGGCTTATGAAACTATCTACTTCTAACTGGCTCCTCAATGGGTGCAGCTCAGTCTTTCCTATGTATTTAAAACTACAGATTCTAACTGTGTGGACTATTAAGTGTATTAACTTATAACAATCCTTACAGCCTTTCTCTTTGCCCCTTCTGAGCAGTGTTTGAACTAGTCAGTAAAACTGCATTTATTTACTTTTTATTCTCAGAATATAGTTATGTGGGAGGCCCTTCAATCTGGTGAAGGTCTGACTTCTACAGCAGCCTTCACAATGAATAACCCAAAAGAAAAGCACATAGCAGAGGAAATGGTATCCGACAGATACTCAAACCCACAACTCCCGAATCATCTGCTTTTCCAGCATGTGACGTGCTGCGTGCCTCAGCTCTGTTCCCAGACAGCTCTCAAGGAAGTGTTCCTCCTAGGTCTCACTTCTGCACTGACAAATCAATTGTTTCTTCACAGGCAACACTGGCCGATGGAAACAGGCACAAAACCCCAGCTGTAGGTTATATGCCATTACTGTCCTGAAAACCAGCTGCTCACCAGGATGTTGGTAATTACTAAGCCACACAGAGGGCAGCATTAGAGCTTCCCACCTCAGGTACAGCAGTGGCCATGACTGTCAAGTCCCCAAGATACCCAAGTTCAGAGCTGCAGGACAAATACCTTGTGTATCAATAGACAGACTTGATGAAACTGGCCAAGTGTTTGGATTTCTTTTAGGGAACAGTAGATGACTCGCTCAGTTTGGGGTGCCCAAGGTTACAGCAAGGTGACTGGGATCTGCAAGCCCCAGATGCCACTTGCATCAGTAGCACGAATTGCAAAGAAAAATCACATCACTCAGAGTTGGCATAAGATGAAGTGGAAAGGAAAAAGAAGGAAGAATGGCTCTTCCCAATTATGGGCCCAACCTTCTTCGGCAGCTCGGATTCACCGGGAGGGAAGCCTGGTGAGTTTCTCATCTCTGAGTGTAGTACAGAGCTGCTCTCTTGCCTGACCACATGCTACAAACTAGGAAGGAAAGCCTCTTCTAAGTACTCTAACAAAGCATAAAACTCCCCCTTTAAATCTCCACATCATTTTTATTACATTAACTTTAAAAGATGAAGACAGTGAGACACCTCAATTTACATCAGGAAGGATCTAAACATTGGCCAAGGTCAGGGAGATAGATAACAGCCATACAGTGTACAAACTCAAGAGGCATGGCCACTCCCTCCCAGCTGCTGCCTGGCACAGTGACATCCTCTGTCCCTTGCCTTCCTCCTCACTGGCTAGTCTGGAGACAGCTGTTCTACCCATCAGAATCTAGATATGTCTGTAAGATGTTTCTCCAGCAATAGTTGTCAAGGGTTCAATATGTGTCAAGGATAGTGACAGTTAGGTTTGGGGTGCACAAAGACTAAGGAACAATCATGCACAAGAACTTTAGAAAGAAGATGGGAGAGAGAAAACTACGCAAATGAGTGGCTGTGCTGGGGAATGAGCAGCTGTCACCAGGCAGAAGATGTGTACCAGGTCTAAGGAAGTGTGCCAGCCAGCCACCTCCTGCCTCAGTCTGGGAAGCCACCTGGGTCCTATGCAAGAGCAATTGGTACTCTTACTGGTTGAATTGTATCTCCAGCCTTCTGCCTTAATTTCTGGGACAGGTTCTCTCACTGAATCTGGGGCTTACTGTTTCAGCTGCACCTGTCAGCCAGCAAGCCCTGGAAACCACTGGTCTCTGTCCCCTTGTGCTTAGATTACAGGTGTTCCATCACACTTGGGTTGTTTATTTGGTTGTTTTGCATTTTTGTATGGGTGCTGAGATCCAAGCTCAGATCCACACATCTGCAGAGCAAGCTTTTTCCCACCCCAGCCCCTTAACCCTTTTCTAAACCTCTCCCTGCTCTTTACCTCTCTCTACCCGCCCCCATCTGCTGCTGTGTCTACAATGTGAACTTCATCTCTATGGTTACAGTCGCCCATTCCTGCTCTTGGCCCCCCTGTTTCCATAGCACCTTCTCCACCAGACATGTCCAACTGTGTGCTGTATTGATTTTTCTGGATGATCTGCAAGTGAAACAGACCTAACATGCCCAGGAACGACCATAAAAATACAAAAGGAACCTAAAATGAATTTACCCTACCAGAAGTACAGTAGGTAGCTAGAAGAGCCCTTCAGAAATCCCTTGAGAGCAAGACGTTCCCGAGCAATGGCAGGGATACATCCAGGCCACAGTGAGACTAGAGGTACTACCAGAGGTACTGCACACCATGAGGACAACCCACCTAAGGGCAACAACTGGGAAAGCTGGTGAAAGGGATGCTCTGATGCTAAAAGCCCAGCTACATGTGACATTCGGTATCAAATAGGTAATAACTTAATCAATTTATCTTTAGAACAGACCTAATATCTGGCCTTCCTTGCCACATTGGATGGGACCACCTAATCTGTCTGACTCCTGTACCACATTCCTGTGGACTATGAGGAGTGTGAGGATTCCTAACATCCCCCCACTCCCCGGGCCCACCCTTTTGTTCCAACTCATCTGCCAACTTGGATCAGTCTGTAAATGCAGCCCTGGTTATTCAGCACCTTAGCCTGGGAACTTACAATGATTGTTTGACCTAAGCATAATGAGTTCAGACTCCTCAAGTATCCAGCAAGGTCCCTCACAAGTGCCTATAGTGTCCACCTTCTAGCACACCTATGCCCATTGGTTTAATCCAACTGTGCCCCTGAGGTCAATGTGGAGTCTGTTTAAAAAAAAAAAAAAAAAAAAAAAAAAAACCCAGTCTCTATTATACACCAAGAATCAAGATTTTCCAATTCAGCCAGGAAAACAATCCCCAAAACTTTGGCTTTAGCTCAGACAAAAAGGTTGAATCAACATTATAAATTTCTAGCTGCGTTTCAAAACACCTTGAAAATGAAACTTAAATCTTACAACATTACCAGCTCCCCCCCATCTTTTTCTTGCTATTGTACCCAATGTCATCTAATATATTAATACTGTTCTGAAATCTACCTAAGGAAATACCTGGGATTTTTGAGGGTTTCAAAATCTATTATTCTTTCCTTTACAAAAGTAACAAGAAATTACCAAGAACAAACTGCTCTGTAGACCCATGACAATCTAATGGATGCATCTAATGGAATTCAGAACATCTGCACAAAGGTGGCATTTCATAGGTGACTACACAGAAACCTGTTCTAGATTTTCATGGTCTGTTAATAACTGACTACCATTTCAAGCTTATTAAAATTTGCAATGGGAAGGGGTCCTTCTGCTTACTGGTGTTGTGGCAAAATAAAAGCACATTGGAAATACTTAAGGACATGCTGTTCTTGCCAAGAGGTCCGGAAGACATACCTGTGGTTTCTCTATTCCCGAAAGAATGTCTTGCACCCTCTTTACTTCCAACTCATATTCTGCAAAGACAAGAAGGGGACAAACTGTTACAAGGCAGCAAGGCTGTCAGTTTCCTTCTCCATGCCTTAGTCACGGAGATCATTAAGTCAGTCAGTTGCCTGGTACTACACATTGCTGGTACCACCTTGAACACCGACAAGATCATCACAGTGCTTGTGTTAGCTTGCCAGTGTGCCTGTAAGTACTCACTAGCTAGGTCAGCTAGATTTAGTCCTACTTTGTTCAACACACAATAGGGAATAATAGGTCATAAGAAGGGCAACCAGGAGACACTTACAACTGGAAGTATACAGAGCACCTTCTAAGAGAAGGTGAGGATGAGTGAACTTTTCTTCAGGATGTATATATGTACATATGTATCCAGGCATTTGTTTACTGTTTGGATTATACATTTGAACTACAGTGTTTAAGTAGAAGGACTTCTACAACTCAGCTGGAGTTTGAAGAAGCATTAGACTTCTGCATCAATAATAGACATAAGGAAGGAGTATGATGGGTTAATACATTGTTGCACTGGTACAAGAAAAGAACAGTGCTACCTTGGACTAGAATTGGTGGTAAACAGTGAAAACACAACAAGGCTGGGAAACACAGGAGCTACAAAACTGGATATGTCAGACAGTAGTGAGGGAACTAGTAAAGATAAATTCTACTCTTCATCAACTAGATGGATGATGTTGTCTTCAATAAGGTGAGGAAAGGGACATTTTTATTGTGTAGTAAAGCCCACACCTCAGAAATACAAAGAGGAAAACAACTTGGCATACAGAGATGGGAAGGACAGATAGCCAAATAAAAATAAGTAACAGAAGTCAATCTGCTTCAATTCACAGAGACTCTGAAGTCAAGTCTAAGTCTAAGTTGTGGTGGATTCCACAACTATCTGTTCTGGTTTATGAGCCCAATGCTAGAAAGATATGATTCCCAGGGCATATGTTATTTATAGGTTAGTGGGGAGAAGGTAGCAGGAAATCCAAATGGTAATTACAACATCAGAGGATGAAGCTGTCCTCAAGGCAACCTGAAGGAGGGCAGTGGGAAAACTCCAGAGCAACCTAGATTAAGTGAGTCCCGTGAGGCAGCAGACATGGAGTAATGGTTAGCCAGCCCTGCATTTCATAGCGCCTGTGTCTACTATTCAGGTGTAATCTCAGTCACCTGCTCAAGGACTGTCTCACTGACATCCCACTCTGTCACTCAAGTACTATTGATTGCTTATGTACTGCCAATATCTGAAAATAATGACCCTGCTGATTTCTTTCATGGTCTAATTTGGTCTTTTCTACTAAAATGTGTCTGGATACAGATACTGTAGGTACAGATACTGCAGGCCTAGAGTACCTGATTTATTTCCTATTAAAAACAAAATAAAAACAGAGCCCTGTAATCTCAACACGTGGGAGATAGAGAACTGAGGAGCTGAAGTTTGGGGCTAGCCTAGCCTACACTGCAAAAAGATAATCTCCCAACTGAGATTACAAATAGCTGAATTAAACAGAGACAGTAACGCCAGATATGGGACTAATGGGGAGCGTGGAAGAAAAACCCAATCTCAAATGCTGGAAATGACAACATGGTGATCAAATATAAAGTTCCCTGGAAAGTGTCAGTGACAGAATGGCTCAAGGACAGGACAGATGTATGTGCTTGATGACAGGGTGGAGGCATTGGCCAATCAGGGCAGAGAGAAGAGTACAGTGGGAACCTCAGGACACATCTGGAAAGACCACATCTACCAGTGAAAGATACAGAAGGACAAGGAACTAATCTTAAAAGCATGGAAACAGAGACTCTTTTTTTCCCCTTTTTTGTTGTTGGTTCAAGTCTCACCTCCTCAAAGCATCTCTCTTCCCAAGAACATATAGTATCTTTAGCAAAGCCAAGGTTAAATTAAAAACACAATAAAATAAATAGTCAAAAAAAGAAAAAGAACACCACACACAGAGCATGTGTTATGTGAAATTTAAACTTTCCATAAATAATGGTTTTCATGTTTGCTTCAAAAAAAAAAAAAAAAAAAAAGGTAAGTTCAGACCGTTTGAATAACTGTACAGGCTAAACTAATTTAAACAGCCGTCTTTATAAACACAATTTACTCTTTGGTTTGTTTCATTTTTTTTTTTTTATTTTTTCCTTCTTAGAAAAGAATCTCAGGTCCACACTTGGCTGTAGCTGTAAAAAGTGTTTACATTCATTCCAATAGAACAACATCAGGACCAGTTTTCTCTGCACTCCATCCCTAGTCCCTAATCAGCTCATGTGTAGATGCCCCTCTGAATGTCAGGGTCTTCCTGATGTGCCGATGACCTCCTGCAGCTGCTCTTTAGGAGAGCTATGCCGAGGACTAAAAATACAGGGTCTAATCATTTGGGAGTGAGAACTAGATGGCCAAATAATATTTTTAGATGAAAAGAAAAATAGGCATCAATAATAAAAGTGAACTAGACATCTAATCAAGGTTTGCTAATATCAGTGAGAATGAATATAGGCAAAGGAAGAAAAAAGTATGTTCAAATAGTATTTTTCATGTAGAAAATCAAACTGCCTGTTACCAATTTGAAAAATGTTACTTCTCTGAGAGGGAAGAAAAGGGAATCAAGTACATACAAAAGTTTAATTACTCAAGGACCTTTACTTAGTGGTTAGTTAAAGGTATAAATACTAAAGATAACTCTCAGATCTCTTTAGTGACTTTAGATAGTGCTGTTAGTGCATGCTGCCCAAGCAAGGGGACTGGGCATGCACATAAAAGACAACATGCATCCTGTGCACACTAGCACTAAATTGGGTGAAAGCAGGAGGATCACCGGGACTTGTTGGATGCTAGCCTTAGCCCCTAAAATACTAACAGGAGCTCTCACTTTAGTAGAGACCCTACATCAAAGTAAGAAGACAGAGAGTGACAGTGAAGAGCACTGGATACATTCATGTGGCCTCTGGCATATGCACATAAACATATACATAACAACCCCCCCACACACACATAGGCACATACACACACCCTAAAACAAACCAAAAAAGTTAAGATCATCAAAGAATACATTTTCATAATATGATAATACAACAATACACTACAGAACAAACAAACAAACAAAAAACCCTTGAGTGGCTGCAGAGACAACTCAGTAAGTAAAGCACTTGCAGGATCTGAGTCTAGATTCCCAGCAAGCATACAGAAGCCAGGCACAGCAGTGTATGCTTGCAATCCCACTGTTAAGGAGGCAGAGTCAGGAAGATCCCTGGGCTTATATTAGTCTGAATTGGTGAGCTCCAAGTTCAGGGAGATGCCCTGTTTCAAAAATATAAGAAGAGTGACTGAGGAACACAACCTCTGGCCTTCATACATGCACCTGCATATACCCGTGTACATACACGAATATAAGTGGGCACACACACACAACCACAAAATTGACATCAAATATTTTGATACAAAAATGCAAAACAGAAATCTTTTGAAGTATTTAGCCAAGAAAGTGATTACATCCTTTGGGATTCTGAAAGATGGATGAACACTAGCCCATCAATGACAAAAAAGAAAAATGCCAGCAAGCTATATTTCAGAATGTGACAGGTTGTATTTCGGTCTAGAAAATATTGTCAAGGGTGGCCTGGGTTCCAAGAAGATTCTGAAACATGAGAGAGGAAAAAAAAAAAAAAGAAAAAAGAAAAAAGAAAAAAGAAAAAAGAAAAAAGAAAAAGAAAAAAGGAGAAATGAATTCCTTTTGCAGGTGGAGTGGCCAGCTGGATGGAGAGCCAGCCACAGAATGGGAATGGGACAGCAAGGCCTAATGTCCTCTGCGCTTTAGTTGCTATTTGTGGAATTCAGCAACAAGAATCATTTCTTTCCCGGAGCAAGTTTTGAGACAAAGTCTTCCAGACACTTGCACATTAATCCACCCTCAAGCGAATGGGCCCTTCCTGTAAAGGCTGCACCTGTTAAACCAGAGAACAACAGGCAGGGCTAGGATTGGGGCTTTGATGAGAAGTCAGGGACCAGGAAGGTACCAGAGTCTTCTCAACTCCCACAAACTCTACACATGCCACTCAATGACCTTGCTTGTTGCAAGTAAACTAGAGCCTGCCTGAAATATCAGAAGATTTAACTTGCATTTCTGACAAATTCTCAGGGAACCCCATGTATGCATGGAATCACACAGAAACAACTAGCATTTTTTATAATCATAAAACTGGATAAAGGTCCTAGGTAACTTCATGCCTGGTGAGCTTAACTCAGGCACCAGCTCTCGGCTCTGCATTCCTATGTGTGTGGCTGGGCTGTTTATTACTGAGCCGAGCATTCCTGTGCCAGATAGAGCTTTTTTATTTGGGGAGACTAAACTCCACGGTTATCCATCCAGGGTTGTTGCCTCACTTGGATGCATGACAGAAAGGCAACTTGCTGCAGTTGCTTTTAAACAGGACAGAACATACAAAGGTAATTAAAGTTTGTGCATCACTTTCACAGTAGCATCTAGAAACCTTCCCTCGCATGCTTTTCCATTAAGACTTGGCAGAACACAGTAAAGAATTTTCAATTAACTTAGTCAATACTTTCGTAAGACCCAGGATAGATGGGCAGAATCCACAGCATACAATTCTTTAATACAATAATTCAAGAGGGATTTCTAATAATTATAGTATTTATACTGCAAATTTTGAATTGTTTCACAGCAGCATTTCCTTAATTATGTCTCATATAACTAAACTGTTTGGGGACAAGGCTAGACATTTAGTCTCCTGTTGAAGTACACACACGGAAGCTCACCACTGATATAAGAATCTCAGGTGGAATGTACTGGAACAATAAAGTCTGGCCCACTGAGAAACTATTACACTGAGGAGACTTGCTATCTCCCTCAGGAAATTTCCAAGCATGACAAGTGCATCACAGTCACCAGGCAGGAACATCAATGAGTGGAGGAGGCGCTGTAAGGAAGAAGAAAAGTACTTCACTGCCTAAAGGGGCAGCCACCGGACTGTTTAGTTACTCATAGAGTAC